TCTGTAGTTTGCAATTATTTTCCAAAAAGATAATACGGTTGCATGATATCTTCACGATGTTTGGGTTGAACATAGTAACATTCTTCTATACAAATTTCAAATCTAAGCCGGAAGCAATCACAACACAAACCCAGTTAACCAAACGGAACCATACACAAGAGTGAGTGAGGTAGTTGGGTTTAACGCCGTCTTGAATAGTATTCCGTGTCAGCTTGATGTGGGAGGAAAGTCTGAAGTGATGCAGGTCTTAGACATTCACAACTTTGGTGAAACCAACGAGCAAGGGTTTTGTGCTGACAACAAAATCGGGGCGAACCGAGATTCAAACACACTGTCATAGGTTTCTGGCGTGCCCAAGGGACACAACTCTGCATAGCGAATTGCAGCGCCTTCGGCGACTGGGCCAACCATGCCCCCGTAAACAACTGTAAGAAAATATTATACAACAAAGATGTTTTAGGTGAGATATGTATTGCGGAACATTCCATGAAGAAACAGTGGCAATTTTACAAAATCACAAACTACAAAATACATGCACAATAAACGACAATTAAAAAACACAGGAACATTCAACATTCAAAGGAGGTACATTATAAAAATTTTATTTCACAAACAAGTGTTTTATAATGACATTGAAACAATATGAGAATTGAGCAAAACTATGGTAATGTTGTACATACATGTACATGAATTTGTTTGTAATTGTTGATATGTTAACAGATCTTGGAAGTTGTTTCTGGATAACTGTTGGTAAACTTATTATGAATCTGTTAAAAACAGAGTGTACCAAATTCTTTATCATGATTGGGGATTATTTGTGATTCTCTTTCTTGGTTGTATTATGTAAGACAGTGCGTAATGTTGTTCATCTTCTGAGACATCACATGTTTCACAGAGACGTTGTTCAAATGGGGTTGGTGTTTTTGTATATCTACAATTTTTTCAATTTTTAGTTTGTGATTACTTAAACGATGTTTTGAGAAAAGTGACCTATGGCCTTTGTTTTTACAATATGTAAGATAATTCTCAATATTTATAGATAACGTGACCAAACTGTATGTTCCTAACTTGCTGCTAGATAAATGGGAATCCATTAATGATTGCGTGAATTTTTACATTTGAACTGAAGTATATTTAGAGTGGATTCATTACATTTTTTGTGTTTACTATTTTAAAAATTTGCTTTATTTAACCCAACCAACATTTTGACCAGAAATGTTTATATTGGCTGCCAAAGCATGCTTTAGAATGACATTTGTTGTGTTATCTATATAGGATTTTTTTTATTGGTACTAATAGTGGGTATATATCAAGTTTTGCCTGACAGGCCCAGTTTTCTTGCCTGGGGTTTCTTTGTGCTGACCAATTAAAGACACTGTTTCTTTTATTGTGCTTTCCAAAGATAAGTACATTAATAACAACCGATTTGTACTTAACACAAATTCTCTCCTCCCATAGCTTACACTTCCTTTCTCTGCACATAACATTATATGGCGGGGAGCTATTGATGCTCTGCAGCAATCTCTACTTGTTCAGTTATGGCCTGATGAGACTCGTACGTGGTACGAGTTGAAAGCGCTAGCCAATAAAGACTGTGTTCAATCTTATTCCACTTAAAACATATAGTTACGTGACGCCATAACATTTAGGAGAACTATGACGTCACAATACCAAGGTGACAATGGACAAATAACTTACACCTCTATTACATTTAACCCTCTGGATGCCGAGGTTTTTTTCTGACGCACATTTTCCTAAGATCGGAAAAGTGAAGGTTGTGCGAGAATAGCGCTCACGCGGCACTGGATCTACCTCTGGCTATAAAATTACGCAGAGGTGGAGAATATTAAATTTCCTATTTGACGGTGTAAATTTAACTGCAAATATTAAATGGTTTTAAAAAAAGACACTTCTATGTCTTGTCCGAGAATTTATTCTGCGTTGAAAAACAGTAAATTTCTCCGATTTTTATCGTACACCGATAAAAGTACTGTGCGACGAATTTCTTTTATTTCGAAGCTTTACGGAAACTGTGAGCGTACAAAATACTGCCTAATATCTGAACGACATAACTACATATCTAATGGAGTTGTATGCGTATGTATAACGACATACATTCAATACCGCCGTCATATAGCTAGAATATTGCTGAGTGCGGCGTAAAACAACAAACCAAACCAAAACCAATGTCAAAAACAGCATGCCGTAAATGACGAAAACTGATTTTTCTCTATGACGTCAAAAGGCGACCGAGAGGTTACACGCGTACATAGAAAAGGGGGCATAACTCCGCTATGCTTAGCACTAGTTTATTGTAACTCAGGTCAATTGGTGAGAATTAGCTGTGGATAAGGACAATATATTTTCGTGGTGTTTCGTTCACGAGGAACCAAACTATTCCAACACAATATCCATATTGAAACTGTATACGTTTAGTTATTAAAAAAACCCATAAGAAATGATGAAATCGTACTTCATAAAAAAGAGGTAATAGATAAATGGATGGCCCTATCTAACCTACAACTTAGTCCTGAGATTCCAACATTCTCCTGATTGTGTAAGTGTAATTTGACTAATGTTGCACCATTATTAATGGAGCACTAGCCTTATCATCAATAGTAATGAATTACCCAAAAAATAACACCATTTCATTTGACGTCATGGCTGGTTTTATGTCTTTGATAACGTCGGAGAAAGACGACACTGGTATTTTGATTAATATTTATCTTCCATAATTTCCGTTCATGGTTTGGAAAATCTCTATGTGTAAAACGGAATTTGACGCTTTTTCTACACAACATAAAAAGAATGCGTTTACCATGTAAATAATGTCTTGAATAGATAAACAATTCGATAATGTGCAGTGTACCTTAATTGAACAAGACACGCACCTGTTTGGCATCACCAAGTAAATAATGGCTTGAATTTGTAAACAATTAGATAGTTTATGGTGTATCTTAATTGGAAAAGACACGCACCTGTTTGGCATCAATTTACGTTATGAAATACCCAAAAGAATATTTCAAAACAACCAAAATTATATTCAATATTGGACATATATTTGTTCATTATTATGTTATTATTTCTCTTCATCTCGTCTCAGAATTACACAATAAAAGATGCGAAGAAAGCTCTATTGGTATAGAATTATCAGGATAATCGTATAAGGTTGAACCAACGGGGTACCTGGCATGGATTTTATTTTATACATTTTACAATTCCTGGAGAAATTAAGTAAACAGTTTAATATCCCGTGATCACAATATTGAAAAAGAATGAACCCATTGATTATATAATTGAGGAATAATTCGTAAATTGTTTGTGACTAACGCGCACCTGGCGAATCGTAAGATATCACTGTTCTGTGTATCAAACGACATAAAAACAATTAAAAGACCAAGACAATTCTTTCAGAAATGTGTGCATATATTTTACCGAAAACATATTATCCATTTTGTGAAAGTAATATATTCAGTTTTAGTTATAAAGTAAAATGAAACGGCTATTCATGGACATTGCTAATATCAACTTATAATATTGACTATTGCACATCCCAAGAAATACGTACATGCTGCAGTAACATTTACACTTCATCTTGTAACACTTGTCAAAAGGAAAGAAATATCGTATTCGACACTAAAACCATGTTAAAACAAACAGGAGATTATCAAAGGTTCGTTCATACATGTTGTGGCCTATATTTACGTATGATATCATTTTGAATATTGACAAATGTCCAAAGTGAAATTAATTGTGTGAAAAAATGTATGAAAGATATGCAAAATCTACATCATAACTGAAACTGTAAACAGCATGGTACAATGATCGTGTGCACTCTCATTCAAGGACCTTCACCTCAAAGAAATTACCAAATATGTACAACAATGTTGACGTATGACATCACTACCTGTGACCGACTTTTACAAAATGGCGTGTTCACTGTCACCAGTAAGCGGGATTTTACGAGGGGACTTTCGTTGATTCAGGGATCGTATATACATAAATGTGACATGTAAGTGATCAGACACATTCTGACAAACTATGTACTGTTATTTGTTGTTAATTTTCATTGAAACAAAACGAAATAGTCAGAAATTTCTATAAATACCGTTGTCGTTGTGCGTGATTTTGCGTCAGTCATGGCGTCACACAGGACGGTAACTTGCAATGATTTGATATTTTCAACAGAAATTGTCAATGTATCTATTTTAAATTCCCTAATTCTTCCTACGATTCTCTTCCGATGCATGTTCTGAAAATGTTGAGCCAATATATTGATCGAATAGACGAATGGATACTGGATAGCTCAAAATAGGAGAAAATGCTACACTGTATACAATCTGTATTTTGCTTTGTTTACATTTCAAACAAGTGCAGTTTTTCGAGCACAGCGTTCGTTTTCACACCTAACTTATTTGTTTTGGCTTGATTTCATCCAGCCACTTCGTTTTGGTGACAAAGCCAATTGGTCATTTGATTCTTAAATGTATGAGGAATTCAAGGATGTGTGTATCGCAGCTAAGTTTGAAATATACGTGATGTTACAGCCTATAGGCGCCTCATAACAAGTGTACCTGAAACATGATTTTGTAAACACTATCCAATAAGGTGGAAAGTTCACTTCGGCCACAGGACATGGTCCTGTGCTTCGGCGTTCGTGGTTGCGTATTTTCCAAAACATTCTAAACGGTTATCGGAGACGTTTTGGAATGATCATTGGTGATTTTATAAAGGACATACTTGTGATCACTAATATGCTGGAGTATGTCAAATGTATGCATCCATGTACCCGTCTTCATTCATGGTATTTCAGTTGTTTCTTATGTTACATTTAGTGTGACATACCATTAATTAAATGAGTAAAAGTGTCCCAATGACATCAAAATTTAAATACCAAAAATAAAAACATGTTTTGCACTTAAGTAATTTGTTATTGCAACATTTATTAATAATAAGGATATTAACACAAGAACATTGAATCACAAAATACAAGAATCATCATGAGGTAGGTACTGAAATATTTGCAAAACATTAAAAACTTGCTTGTGCTCTGCTCACATTGATGTCTGAAGCAGGACTGAGAAGTATCGGGTTCAACGTCCTTTGCAGTGAGTTAGATTTGCATACATTTATTATTTTAACAAGTGCAATGGGTTCGCACATTTAATTATTAATTTTACTAGTGTGATGGTTTCACGCATTTATTATTTCAACAAGTGTGATGGGTTCACACATGTATTATTTCAACAAGTGTGATGGGTTCACACATGTATTATTTCAACAAGTGTGATGGGTTCACACATGTATTACTTCAACAAGTGTGATGGGTTCACACATGTATTACTTCAACAAGTGTGATGGGTTCACACATGTATTATTTCAACAAGTGTGATGGGTTCACACATGTATTATTTCAACAAGTGTGATGGGTTCACACATGTATTACTTCAACAAGTGTGATGAGTTCACACATGTATTACTTCAACAAGTGTGATGGGTTCACACATGTATTATTTCAACAAGTGTGATGGGTTCACACATGTATTACTTCAACAAGTGTGATGGGTTCATGCATGTATTATTTCAACAAGTGTGATGGGTTCACACATGTATTACTTCAACAAGTGTGATGGGTTCATACTTGGATGTTTATAATAACAAAGTGTTTATTTATAATATTTAAGTTAGATGTAATGAAGCTTTTGAATGGGAGTCTTAAAGATTAATCTTTAGACATCGGTTCGATTCCGGTCGAAGGCATACACATCAAAAATCATTATTCACTGCATGTATTTGTATTTTGTGATGCAATGTTCTTGTGTTAATATCCTTATTATTAATAAATGTTGCAATAACAAATTACTTAAGTGCAAAACATGTTTTTATTTTTGGTATTTAAATTTTGATGTCATTGGGACACTTTTACTCGTTTAATTAATGGTATGTCACACTAAATGTAACATTAAGAAACAACTGAAATACCATGAATGAAGACAGGTACATGGATACATACATTGACATACTCCAGCATATTGGTATTGTATACATTAAAATGTAATTCACACTTATGTAACATTGACACAACTACAGTGACTAACACTGGACAAACAGTTATATGATAGTTATGTATAATACAAATATTTAAGTTTTGGCCATGGGGTCCATGATAATGAAGAAACATGTCTATATCTCTGTCCTACATGTTGATAGGTGGGAAGGTGAAAATTGGAGGCATTGAAAACACCATTAGTGGTAAGTCAGTAATACAACAAATTGTTGCATATTACATAAAAATTGCACAGGCAATTTGTTGAGTGTGAGGTCAAGGAAAATATTTAATTTCATCACTTGAGTAACATTATCATGATGGTCTGTATTTCTATTTCAACAGAAAATCGGGAGAGGTGAAAAGAACGGTTGAGGAGGCCAAAAAGCAGTATGCCAACCTGAAACAAAGAGGTTCAACATTTACAGTCTATACAAGTATCAGCATATGAAAACTAATTAACAGATATAAGTACATCAGCGCAGCTGAAGGCCAGCATAATCAAAATATCTGACAGGAATTAAAACAATGAATAAATAAGAACAGAACTTACTCAATAAGAAAACAATTACATTGTTGTCATCGTCATTTCAGTATGTTAATTTGATTATGTTTATTTACAAATGTAAATCAATAATGTAATCACAAGCAGATGTAATAAGTTATGTGGTGATTTGTCTTCAGCCAAAGACAAATCTGATGCCATCAGACGTCCCAAGACTGGTGGTGGACCCAAGCCAGTCTCGCCCTCATTTGCAAAGACCATGATTATTGAAAATCTTCAAGATCAGCAGGGTTTGTTAGATGGAAATGACACTGAAGGTATATATATAATGCTTATCATGCTTATGTGCAGTTCAGCTTGAACATTTTATTTTCCAGACCAATTCTTTCTTCAAGTATATCACTATTCATTAAAAATATAACTACTATCAATGCATTGAATTATAATTATGAAAACAATTGAAATATTTATTTTTTTTAAACTCATCACAGATGCTTATAAGTTAATGTGATAATGTGACAAAATATGTTGACAATTCAAATAATGATCATGAAAATACATTATTAGTGTTATAGCTATTACATGTTCATTGCATAAATAAAAAAATAGAGTTCTAAAACACTAAAAATAGCTATAGCTATAAAAATAGAATAGCTATAATGACATGAATGTTTCAGATTTCAGTGGAGCACCATGTGCAGCAACTGCATCTGAGGATCCGGAGCTGTGCACGGTCATGTTGTCAAATGAGCCCAGTAAGTTCTAAATAATGTACACGTCTGATTTCATGTGTTTACACATATATATGTCAGCTTTGTAATAAAAATTCAATTGAATAACTTCCTAGGGAAAACAGCTGCATGTGGTGCGTTTTTGTGAAATAAATGTACATGTGTCAATGAAAATATACCTGGTTTAGCATTTATGTATGATTAAATGCAAATTTTATTTTCTACATTTCATATGATGTTCCACAATCCAAATACAGCGATATATAATTATATAAGTGTTAATTCATCAACAGATACTCATCATGATTTAAACTCATAAAAATACGGGGTGTTCGGTTATCCTAGTGGTTAATGCGTTAGCTCATCACGCCGAATCCCGACATTGGTACAATGTGTGAAGCCCATTTCTGGGTCCCTCGTCGTGATCTTGCTGGAATATTGCTGAAAGCAGCGTAAAACCATACTCACTCACTCATAAAAATACAGTGGATACATGGATAAGCAATTTATGAGTTTGGATGAATTATTATTCTTTCAGATTGCCCTGTACAACTGGATATTATCCTTGACAAACAAGGAATCTTACAAGTTCCAACCCAAAGTGCCTGCACTAGTGCTACCAAGGAGCCACCAAAAAAGAAAGCCAAACTACATGAAAAAGAACTTCTGACACTGAGAGCCGAAAAAGAGAAGTTCTTACAAGAAACAATAACACTATAAGAACAAGCGGAATACTTCAGAACCAAAAACATTATTGCGAAATTAGAGAAGGAAAAGTTAGAGATTGAAATACAAATATTAAGAAAGAAATGTGTAACATTCGAAGAAGAGTAGAAATAAATTAAAGTACAAAATAGAATTATATATATAATGAAGAACATAAGATAGGCATCTTTAATGTGTTTGTAGTAAAGTTTCGAGAGAATATTATATTGTTTAAGGTTAGTGTTAGAAACCGTGTTTTAAAATATCATAACTTTGGCATATTAAAAAAAAATGTAACTCATCTTCTATACCCACCCGCGTACTTATATTTTTTTATGTGTAATTATCTAATTCTCAATGAGGTATAATGTCTTCTTTGGTCTCTTATGGTGTATATGAAGCAAACCAATATATTCTAACCAGTATAACTCTAGTCAGTTATGTACTGATATTTCATTATGTTGAGTGCTCTTATTATATCAGCAACATAATATTATGTGTCATAGGCCTTTTAGGCCGGACAGTAAAGAATATTTTTGGGATGATTGTTTTCATTCCACTATATCATATGACGTTTGACACCTTAATAACATTTTATCTTATCTCATGTAAGTCACTGACCCGTATAATCTATTTGGGAGTGTCTGTCAATGGGTATAGGGGTGTTTTTTGGTTGGGACAATTTGAGATGTAGATTAATAAAGCAGTGTATTTATTCAAATTCTTAGTAATGAGATATGATTAATTAAAGGGTTTTCTTTAATCAAGAAATGTAAGTGAAATAAGTTAGTTTGACAATATAGAGATATCACTGATATAGACAATAGGCATTTTTATGATAAAACTCCTTGTGACTGAAGTACTTCAAACCAGAGTTCCGTAGATCGATAGTTACACCAACTTCAACATATAAAATGTGTCCTAAGAGTCATCCGGTACTATGATCAGTTATGGAGATTGCTGTAGTATATTTGTCTTTCCACCATAACCTATGGTGGTAGATTATGTCAATAGCTATGTTAATTGCTAAGATATATAAATAAATAATACAAGAAAATGTGTCTTTTTGTTTTAATTTCATGATTTCCTATTGACAGTAACATGGATGGATCCACATGCCTACTTTGTCTAACTAGCAAAGTCACTCATCCCTGACTATACCTGGGCTGTCTAATAGCTCCTGTTTACCTGTACAAAAGAAATAGAGGAAGCAGGAAGATACCAAATATTAACCAGCATTATCAAAAATATTGTTGATAGCAAAATTCTTTTGACCACATATTACAAGCATCTATGTATCAAAACAGTTGGGAGCTACATTAAATACAGAAAGTATCAATGCATTTATGCATAGGTCAGTAAATGTCAGTTGCAATTTACATTGATAATCTGAAAAAAATTGAACAAGCCAATCCCTTGCCACCTTCCCACTTATGTGTATGATAAATGGCCTGGGTCCGGCACTCGGTTGAAACTTTATTTTTCTTGGGAAACAGTCTTGTTCAAAATACTTACAAGCATTTAGCTGAAAAACTGCTGGCACAAGTGTTGACGAACATTGTTACCTGTCCATTCATCAGCAACATTATCATTCGTCTCAATATCATCATGATCAACATTTATTATATCTTTTCTATCAATACCAATATTATGTAGAATCACACAGGCAGTTATAATTTTACAAGCATTTTGAGGTGTTGTTCTTAATCCACTGTGTAAGCAAGAAAATTTTCGTTTTAAAATTCCAAAACTCTGTTCTACTAAAACTCTAGTTCTACAGTGACTTCTATTATATCTTTCTTCAGCCCGGCATGAGGTTGTGAGGAAAGGTGTCAGTGAGACTTGCATGGATATCCCGAGTCTCCAAGGAGAAAGCCCTTGCATGTTCCAATGAAATTTGTGTGATTCTTTCTGGTGACATTTGATCATGACATGCAGAAAATGAATTTATTACTGATTTAACAGTGATGCAATAACCAATTGTCTTGGAACCATCATAATACATTTTTAAGAAATAATCATATCAAGAGGCTGTTTACCTCTTTCCCTCAGCAATAAATATTATTGGTTCTGTAAATGAACTGTGTCCTTAAAAGTTTTGTCATTTGGTATAATTTACAGTTCAAATCATGTTAGATTAAAGATGAATTATGAACTCATACCATTTTCAAAAGCAACGCTGATTTTACTATCCCGGAAGATGCGGCTGTCATGGACACTCCCTGGCCACTTCACAACACAATTGCTAAACTTGTAGATGGCATCGCATATCATCTGATAAGTGATAGAATTAATAGGTAAGTTCAATACATTTAGAAGCAAAAAACACAGCAGGTCACTGGTCAGTAAAAATAAAAATTGAAATGGTATTATTCATATTTTGGCTGCCACTGTGTAGGTAGTAATTTGTGAATTTCAAAATATAGATTCTATTTTCATACATTTCATGAAACATAAAAAGTACATGAACATAAAGTGATTTTAGCTTCAGGCAATAACAATTATTAAGTCTCATAAACATAATATTATTGCCTGAACATTGAGTGAGTGAAATCCTTTTCGATTCAAATAATCGACTTCATTCCTTGAGGGTGCTAGAATGCGAATGAAGGTTCCATCTAAGCAGCCAAGAACATTGGGGAAACCTGAAAAATTAAATTATATGTATCATTTTTCAGATTAGTTAAAGATAAATTATTGTTATTATCAGGAATATATTGTCAATTTTAAATAACATTATGTCAAGAATTTTGAGTTGGCTGTTATGGTAATTATCTTTGATTATATTTTATAAAATATTTCTTTAAAATTTGATTTTTAAACGCTTGAAGGAGTTTATTTTTATGCATTTTACAAAAGGTATTGGAAAATTTAAAGTGTATATCTTAAAATATGTTAAACGTAATTATTATCGGCCGACCTGTTATGTACTATGGAACAGAATAATAACAGAAGAGAATGTTTGGAAATAAAAGGCCAGGTGTGGAAGGCGGAGACGGACGCTAGACCGAGCAAAGGGAGATAACTCCGCGCAGCAGCAGCGAAAACCATGTGCTCTCTACTGTACAGCAGACGAGCTATATGCATTTGTGTCCACCCACGGAAACATGAGGGCTGGAATGGGCTCCCACTGTACAAGCAGGCAACCGAGCATACGAGCGAAACCTTATCGGTCCAGCGCCCGTCCAAACCTTGCCACCGAGCACCAAAGGTGCTACGCCATCCACACCTTACCCAAATCAAACTGAGAAAGAAACAAGGAAATAAAATCTAATGAATAAAATTAAATAAACTATGTGGCAAAGAAGTTAATGTTATAAATGATTCTGATGTAGTGTGTACCTCTCCCCTGCTCCTACCGAAGTTTAAGAATACCTGAAAACTGAAAAAATGTTAAGCACGAATTTAAGTGGTGCCGTGCATTGCCCCGCAAGTGGACTCCATCGTCCTCGTAATGCCCTGGTACGCTTGGGTCCAGTGGTCATGTCGCACAACTAGTCCCTGTAGTTCCGCGACGCGCTTCGCAGCGCGCCTGTTGAGGTTTTTTCTGGACAGCTCCAACTTTTTTACGTTACGTACTCGGCGCCAGTTGCGCCGAGGCAGCATCCAAGACAAGATTAGGGTGGTGTCAGGCAGTACAAGTCTTGCATAGAGCAGATCTTCAAAGATGTCCCCATAGAGCGTGTGGCCTTTTATTTTACCCAAGTCGTTGGAGCCGAGGTGAATAAGAAGGTACTTGGGAGGGTTTCCGGCGACGAGGAGATCTTGCAGCGCCGGTCTGAATTTCTCCCAAGTCCATCCCCCCTGGACTTTCCAACGCAACGGACCAACAGCAGACAGCAGGGCTGTCAGGCGGCGCCTCGTTCTGGCCAGATAACTGTCGCCGATGACCCAGATAGCACCTGAAATTGTGTAAACAAGCCAGAAATCGGAAATGGTGGCCTACCTAGTATCTAACATAATTAGTGAAACAGTTTGAAGACCAGCGGCCATATTGTTTTATGGTGTCTGCGTCCACACCGTTCATGGCTGCTGTAGTTGCGGCGCCAATTCTAAATGAATGAGAAGTAGACTTCTGGTGATGAATACCTAAGAGTGAGACAGATTTTGTTAGCACAGCCTGAAACTGAAATCTAGTTAACTGATTTCCATCAAAATGAACAAATATAAGTATGGAGAGCGTGAAGTCCGTGAGGATAAGTAACTGGCCATAGCTGCAACAGGACAAAGAGGGGAAGTAGGTGCTGCTTTTATGAAAATTGATGTGCCTCTCCCTGCTTGGTCTGTTTTGGAGTACCTGAGGCGTACCTGAAGTCTGCTTGGTAGATCTGAAAGTGTTACGTCGTTAATTAGCAGCGCTCTACCGGAGGTATCTGCAATGGAACGTGCCACCAATTCGCTTACCCGGAAGAAACCAAAATATGCTAAAGTAAAGGCTGCTTTAAAAAGCTTAACCTCATATGTTGAGTTACATACCACGTGAATTACCTGAAGTATTTTGCCTAACAATTGTGCAGTGATAGGACGACGGCAGTCCTGCTTAATGTTTGATTTACGTGTACCTGACAGGGCTTTCCTCACTAGGAAATGTTGAGTAGGATCTGGCATGTCTTGCAGTTTGTGCCACGTACCTAGCGCCGATATGTATGAGAAGAGAGTCCGTGGTGATTTACCCTCTAATGACAACGCAGCTACGAAGAACAGCAGATGGTCTAGTGGAGCTGGCCATGTTAAGGGAAGCCTGTTTGATAATCTGAACTGAACGAAGGACTGCAAGGCTGTGTTGTAGGTTCGCCACGTGTTGTCCGACAAGGACCAACCCACCAATCTGCTAGTTTCCTGTACTAAATATTCCAAAGGTCCGGCGGGACGTTTGTTCCCACCGTCTCTGCTGTCGGGGCTGCATCTCTGAACCGGTCCATCTGAAACCTCGAAAGAATATCAGGATGTATGTCATGATGATATCGTTTAAGAAAGGGAAAGGTTTTTTATATAGAAATGACAAGAATTAGAGTAGCTCCCCCTTATTTGACCTAGTAATTAATAACACCACTGATATTGTGGCGAGTTCACTTTCAAACACACTCACCTGCAATTTGGAAGAACATTTTCTTGATCTTGTCTGCATCTTGTCCAGTTGGCATACATACAATATGCCGGAGATGTTCAATCAGACAAGAGCATACATCTCTGACTGAACGAAACACTGAAGAAGATGAAATAATCGAATATGAATCGACGATCAAAGAATAAAAAAATCCAGTGGCCAGGAAATGCAGGGCGACAAGACAGTACCTGCGTTAAAACAGGTAATGGGCTGCTTCGGTTGGAGCAATCTCTAAACAAAGCAGTAGCGAGAACTAAGATCTGATTTTAATGAGATTGCGGTTGGAGCACCGTTCAAGCTTCTCACAAACAAGGGAAACAATAAATAAAATGCTCTCCGCACGGAAACGGAACCTCATGAATAACTCCTCGGGTTCCATGAACTCGAGAGGATTTTGTCTGTCGACTAATCTCCTTGACAATGTTGATTTTTGTTTCTGCCTTCGACGTCTACGCCTATTCAATACCGCCATTTTATAACCGACAAAAAAACCTTAAGTTTTATTTCGTAAACTGAAATAAGGTCTAAATGCGATTATCCCTGGCTTCCGGCGGAAGTCACAAGCCTTTCAAAGTCACGTGAGAAAAAACGAGATCTCGTCCTTGATTCTCTGGCTTCCGAAGACGCAAGACGTGGAAAATTTGCGTGCTCGTCTTGTGTTTTTCATCGTGAGCAATCTTCGATGGTTTTTCGTCAGTCTTGCTCTTTTTTGTGACTTTTCTTCTTGGCTTAACTCTTTTCTTCGGTTTTCTAACGGTCATGAGATCGGATCATTCTTCAGCTTCGGATGGCGAGGATGGAATTCCTGTTAGCCAAAAGCATGGACGCCATGTGCCTGTCAGCCATGAGGCAACCACGGCCGCTGGAACCAGCCACGAGGCAAACAATAACCAGAGCCATGAGGCAGTTGGTGACAATGGCAGACCTAAGGATATTGATTTGGA